TTATCATTAGGATAACTGCTCACGTTTTTATGCCACTTATATTTGAAACAGAACCGTAAATGGTTTTAATATAAGCTTAGGAATTTTGACATTGTTTATCCCCTTGGAGCTTGGCTGCGTCACATTCATCACATCCAAAACAGCCATGTTTAAGCGGTTGGGAATTCTGACGCTCTCACGGAGGCGGGCAGAGAAAGGTGGAGGAGACTGTAGCCAGACATATGGGGAAGCAAGAGCTGCTGGCCATCTTTCTCTCATCACTGCTTACCCCCCCTCCCCCCAATAATTAGCTGCTGAAGAGGATCAGGAGGAATAAAAGGAGGGAGAGAGGCGGCCAGGGGCTTCCCCCCCCCCCGGTTTGCCTGTAATATAGCTAGGGTTGCCATTCTCCAGGCAGGGCCTGGAGACCTCCCGGAGTCACAACTAATCTCCAGACCCCAGATATCAGTTTCCCCTGGAGGAAATGGTTGCTGCGGAGGGTGGACTCCTGCTGAGGCACATCCCCCATCCTAAATCCTGCTCTCCCCAGGCTCCGTCCCTCAAATCTCCAGGGATTTTCCTAACCCTAAGTATAGCCCTCTTCGGTTTTCTTTTCCTGTCTCCGTTGTGGGAGTGTCAGAACGCTCCTCTGTGGAAGCATGGCTCACACGTAACTACCCTTGATGTGGTGAGTGCCATGTTTAGCCAGGCTCTCATGCTGCAGATGCTTCATTGCGAGCAGTTGTTTATTTTGGAGAAGCAGCAGAAACCTGAGGATTTGGATGCAGTCGACGGGAACAGTTTTGCTTTTCTGGCTGGGAAGAAAACCAGCGTTCAGATTCCAAAGTGAAAGGTATTTGGAGCTTGTAAACAACAAAGCCAGAGCGCTAGGCTGACAAAATGAGGCCTTTATTCCGTTTATTGCATGGTGGCGTCCAAGATTAAAAAACAGAGAACACCACAAAATGTTTGCGGTTTGTAAGCCTTCCTGGCCATTGGCCGAGCAGTTGTGATGTCATAGAATGTTCACAAGTATGCTCAGGGGAAGCTCTTAAGACAGGGCAGCTCTGGAAGAAGCAGTAGGGTAGAGTGGCGTGCCAAACCTCGTGAACACGGGGATTGTTTCAGAGGGTAGCTGTACTGATCTGCAGTAGACAGGCTAGATTTGAGTCCAGTAGCACCTTAGGGACCAATGAGATTTTCAGGGGATAAGCTTCTGACAGTCAAAGCTCACTTCATCAGATGTGGTATATCAGGAAGGGGAGCTTTGACTCTCAAAATCTTATACCCTGAAAATGTCGTTGGTCTCTAAGGTGCTACTGGACTCAAATCTAACCTCAAACCTGGAGTTTAGGGCCAGGGGTTGTACCCGTATCCAGTGCTCCCTCTAAGCTGTGGAGTCCTGTGAGTAAAAATCCTACTTTGTGAGCTACCGGCGTTAAAGTTGTGAGCAAGCGATTTGGCTGCTGCATCAATGAGTTTGCTCTGGAGCTCTCCTTCCCGAGCTAAGACAAAAATGTGTGAGCCGGAGGCTGAAAAACTGTGAGCTGGCTCACAGTAACTCAGCTTAGAGGGAACACTGTGCCGTATCCCCCACCCCCCCTTCCAATTGTGTTAGTAGGAGTTTTGGGTGTGTAAAGTGCCGTAAAGTTGCAGCTGACTTACGGCAATGAGCGACGAACAGAGGTAGCTTGCTGTTGCCTGCCTCTGTGAAGCGACTCCGGTAGTCTCCTATCCAGGGGTCATTTCCTGCAGGAGTGCACAGGAGCGGAGCTCCGGCAGTAAAGAGCCCAGGGGGCGGGCACATGCAACAAGCCCGCCCCCTGCTCCCAGCAGCCCTGGGCCACAAGGAGCAAGAAGCAGCCAAGTAAGTTGCAGAGCCCCCCCATAGATAGCAATCCAAAACAGTCCAGTGGCACCTTTCAGACCAAGTTTAATTCGGGTACAAGCTCTCCGTCCTCTGTGAGGGCAGATCTGTGTGCTCCCCCCCCCCAATAGCTAGCAATCCAAAACAGTCCAGTGGAGCCTGAGTGGTGGGTGTTTCCTTCTGACACACTTCCAGTGATGGCAGGGGGTGTGGCATATGCAAATATGTTATGCTAATGAGTTATGCCAATGAGTTATGCTAATGAGTTATGCTAATGCGCTCCTGCACCTATTTTTCTATGAAATGACCCCTGCTCCTATCCAAATGCTAACCAAGGCCAACTCTACTTAGCTCCTGAGATCTGATGGGATTGGGCTAGCCTGGGCAGTCCAGGTGAGGGCAGTTTGGGTTGGGTAAACCGTAGGGGAGAAAACATTAAAAGCCCCCTCCCTGTACCTCTTTGCCAATCAAATTCGAAGCCCCTACACCTAATCTAGAGAGGGTTTTTTAAATTAAAAAAGGCGGAAGGTCCAGTTGCAGAGCTCCTGCCCCATGTGTGGTTTGGCCGTTAGTCTTATCATGGGTGGGCTCTCGCAACATGTTGTTTCAGGTCCTGACCCTGGTCCGCTCTTTATTTATTTGTGTGCGCGCGCCTGTGAACCTGGAAGGCACAGTGACTTCTGGCGACCCCTGTGGGGGGCCGGGACGTTTCAGAGAGGTGGCTTGATATGGCCCGCCTCTGCGTCCCGAGCTCTGGTATTCCTCGGAGGTCTCCCATCCACGTACTTGCCAGGGTCGGCCCTGCTTAGCTTCCAAGATCTGACAAGATCGGACTCGCCTGGGCTACCCAGGTCAGGGCAGCAATGGTCTGCTCTCGTGGGCCATTCACTGTTAGCTGCCTGCCGAGCTTGGCAGCCCATCTGTGTCCGGAACTCTGAGTATTGCCAGCCTTGCCCCTAGCTGCTTGGCAGTGGCTCCTCCGCATGGTCCTGTTGAAACAGGACAGTGTGCAAGTCAGAAGCTCTTCTCCCAGGTGTGCTCCCCCCCACACACATACACAAGATGGGATGTGTGGCTTTATTGCAGCCCACTCATTGCCCCAAGCTGGGTTTCGCTACCCGAATTTCTCTGCATTTCTAGCAGAGGTCTCAGAGAAAAGCGACAGGAAATTCCCAGTCCCGCCCCTCAATGGCACTTCCTTCAATTCAGCTTGCTGTAATGTTCTCCTTGCTTGTTCCGCTTGGCGTGTTTCACTGCCCCTGCTTCTGCATTCAAGTAGCCACTTTCAGATCCTCCTCGCCAGCTTCCCTTACTTATCCTCCTCGCCAGCTTCCCTTACTGATCATGCCTTTGTTTAGACCTTGCTTTAAGACCCTGAGATTGTCTCAACTCCACCCTCCGGCCACCTTTGAGATATGAGGGTAGGGGGGAAAGCATAAAAATGTGGGCGGGGGGTGGAACGGTTTTCCCCCACCGTTTTTCTCTAAGGACTTTAAGAAAGTTTTCTTTTGTTGGAAAACTCCTGAGAGATATTCTGTCTTTTAGAATGAGTTGAAACGCTTTTTAAGGCAAGGATCTTCACATTAAAAATATATAGCACGAAAAGGTCTGATGAATTTTTTAGTTTTTCCAATGGAAAAATTGGACAATTTGGGGTAGCGCTGGGGAGAAAAAAACCTCCTCTGAAATATTTTCTCTTTTGATAAAAGAAGCTTTTGTCCTCTGAAACATTTCATTCATCACAGATGTACAGCATGAAAACAGTTGGAGGACTTTCTCAGTTTTTCCAGTGGAAAAATTAGGAGATTTTGAGAAACAATGAAAAAAACCACACCCTCTTAACCTGTAGATATATACAATACTTTCAAGATTCTTTAGTTTAAACGTAAATAATTCTGGCAACAATCAGTATGCTATAATGAGTTTAATGGTAACACTCTATTAAACAATTCAGTGTTATAAAGTTTAACTTTAATATCCAAACATGCTGGCAGTCCTACTGCTTGTGACTCAATGAGAGAGTTTCTGTCCAAGTACATTTTCTTTTGTTTACTATGGAATTTGTTTTGTACCTTCAACTTTTATTTTTTCCTGCCTGTCAGATGGCAAGAATCAAAGATACACGTGTTATGGTAGCACAGGATGTAGCAGTCTGTAACTCTTTCTCAAGTATTGGGTATTTGCAATTTTTCTGATGGAAAATGGTGATATTTATACCTTTAAATTCCATGAATATGCCAGGTAGTACAACTTTATATGTTGATTAGGTTACAGTGCATGTCATGTTGTTGGTATTTTTGGCCACTGTGTGACAGAGTGTTGAACTGGATGGGCCATTGGCCTGATCCAACATTGGCTTCTCTTAGGTTCTTATGTTCTTAAATCAATAAAAGAAGTTTTAGTTTGATAGGAAAGTATTGCATATATTTCAATCCGCCCCCCAAATTCCCATTTTTTTCAGGGGACGGTTCCGTGGTTTCAAAATTTCAGGAAATGTTACATCTTTGGAGCCGCCAGACTGGCTTTGGTCCTGACCTAAATTTCTCATTAGGATCCTGAGTATGAAATTTCTTCTAAGTTTGAATAGCAAAATGGATATGCACGACCATCAGTAATACAAACGTGTTTTCAGTGGATAGTGTTTTCCCGCAATTCAGATGTAGGTAACAGAGAATGATAGGGCCTCCACTCTGTTGTTGATTGTTTGGAGGATCCTGGTCATTAAAACGAGCATGTGTTTATGGAGCGATGTTTCAGGATGATGTACAGGCGCCATATAGCTCAGCGGTGTCCATGAGCAGACAGGTTTGGTCCTTGACATTTCCATTTTAAAAGATAATAGGCCTGGAAAAGAAGAAGGTTTGCCTTTGGAACACCATGTACTGGATTCGGTGGCCCAGTTCTCTGACTTGTTATAAGATGCCTCTTTATAAATTTGTACAGCTGATGATCGAAAAGCCATTTCCACAGTTCTCAAATGCTCTCAAATATGTTTGAGGTGCCCCTGCTTTACCTTAGTGCTTATTTAGGCAATTCAATGTTTCATTTTCATGATATTGGAAACGGGCACATAAAAGTTGCTGACTTCTGGGGTGGCGTCTCCATCTCTTAGTTTTGCCGCGGTCCGTCTTTCAGTCTCGCTTTCTTTTTACAGGCGCACCTACGTGGGCAGCATGCCTGGGCGAATAATCAATGGCTTGAAGACTGTCGGGGTGAACAATCCCGTATTCCTGCTCGATGAGGTCGACAAGCTCGGGAAGAGCCTGCAGGGAGACCCGGCAGCGGCACTGCTGGAGGTAAGGCAGGGCACCAGCTGCTTCCCGGTCGCCTACGACGCGTCTTTCCGAATCATCGCTCTTGTTCTGGGCTTTGGGGGATTGTCCGATCAAAAGACTGGATTTTGGAGGCGGAGGTGATATTGAATGAAACAGAAGGAGTCCGGTTGCCGCCAATGCTTCTGCGTGGTGTTTGTCAGTAAACAGTCAGGAGGTTTATTGCACAGGAGATGGGGTGCGCAATGTTATGGTCCACCAGTACAGCCCCTCAGCTCAGATTTGGGTGGCTCAACAGGTACCGTGGGTCCCCATTCTCCCGATCGGCCGCAGCTCCAGACAGGCCAGCCGGGTGCGTCAGGGCAGCTCAGCACTAAAGAAGCGACTTCGTAAGAGACAAGCGACAGCTCTTGGGCGAGTTACCAGAGAGACTCCTGACTGGGATGGTTCCCAAACTCTAAGAAGAACTCCAACTTTCGCAAGCATTGGGAGCTTAGAGTGGGCGGGTAGCTGATTGATGAGGGTATGCTCTGGGCCGGACCAGATGTGCTTTTTTCAAGGAGTTGGGTCTGGGTTCTTCAGGCCCTATTCCGTTTCCCTGCAGCCACACAGCAGCTGTGGGGGTTGTCTGTTAAAAAATAAAAGACCCTGTTCAGCCTCAGAATGCCGCTGCGGGAGGAGGAAGGGAACCCATCTCCTTCCCCTGCCCCTAGCCGTTTTCTGCACCGAAATGGCACTGGGTGTCGTTTCGATGCAGAAAACGCCTGGCTCAAACGCCAAAGCTCAAACGCCTGGCTCAAACGCCAAAGCTCAAACGGTCTCTCTCTCTCTTTTTAACGGACATTCCCCACAATTACCGCGTGGCTGTGAGAAACCCGGACTTAACTCTTTAAAAAAGAAAAATCCAGGTGGACAGATCCAGGTGGGCAGCTGTGTTGTTCTGAAGCGGCAGAATAAAGTTTGCGTCCAGGGGCGCCTTTTAAGACCAACCAAGTATTATTCAAAGTGTAAACTTTTGTGTGCAGAGCCGAAGTGTGCTTTGCACATGAAAGTTTGCACTTTGACTAAAACTTGGTTGGTCTTTTAAAAAAGTGTTTGTCTGTGAGAGGCAGGGGCGGCAGGGAAGGAAGGAGATTTCTCTTCCGACCCAGATGAAGCATCTCTCTCTGATCCCATATCCTGTTTCCAGAAGTGGCCGGCAGGATGCCCCCCGAGTGCTCCCAATCAAGGGCATAATGACAACATCCATATAAACCAGGGGTGTCGAACTCATTTGTTATGAGGGCCGGATCTGACATAAGTGAGACCTTGTTGGGCCGGGCCGTGTGTCATAAAATGTAATGCCAGGTAGCGGAGATATGAACTTTATAGAGAAACACAAAGGGGCTTTTTGAAAACTTAACATAAAAACATGCTTAAAACATGAGCACTCTTGCAATATTTTGTTTATTTAACAGTGTCTGATAACTGACACCTCTTGCTCTGAATTATTGCATCAAAGTGCCTGTGCTGTTGCAATCCTGAGTGTGCTGTTCAGGTGTGTATCTGTATGCTGCAAACCTACGATGACGCAGGAGCAGCAGAACTGGAAGAAGAAGCAGAAGACAGCCAGTTCCACTGCGGGCCTGAGAGAAGCCCTCCGGGGGCCTGATCCAGCCCCCGGGCCACATGTTTGACACCCCTGATATAAACTATCATATCTTGGCATCTGACAAAGGGAACTTTGACTCTCACAAACTCATACCCTCCCGCAATGTGCTGGACTCTTAGGTGCTACTGGACGTCTATTATATCTCGTCAGTACTCCAAAAGATGCATTGGCTGCCCGTTTGTTTCCAGGCACAATTCAGGGTTGGCCTGTTAAACCCTTAGAAGTGTGGGACCAAAGGCCACCTGCTTCCCTATGGACCTGCCTCCCTAATAGGCTCTTCTGAATCCCTGCTCCAGGTGTTGCCTTCTTTTGGGGTCAGGCTGGTGACTACCCTTTCTGGGCACACAGACACCTTATTACCATATTAACTTTCAGGCACCAGGTTTCTGTTTTCCGGATTTGGAAGCTTCAGACAGTTCACCACTGCAGTCGCCGCTGTTGCATTATTTCAGTTTTGGGACGGCAACTTTTGGCTGTTTCTGCTGTTACGTCTGCTTTTGAGCAATTGTTGTTGTTGTTGTCGTCGTTTTACTCTGAAACTGGCATTAGTTGTTTGCATTTCGGGAGTGTTGACCGCCTGAATGTCTGAAGACGGTTTAACACCCAGAATCTGTGGCAACCCTGGCCTAGCTCACATTGTGTCTGCTTTATTGTGTGAGAAACGAAGGAAGGTCATTTATGCATTATTCAGGTGAGCTGTCCCGAGCCCTTTGAGATGAATGAAAGAAGGATATGAATGTTCATGTATTTACGTCATTTATATCCCCACTTTCTCCCCAGTGAACACCCAAAGCGGCTTCCATCATTCTGTTCTCTGCCATTTTCTGCTCACAACAACCCTGTGAGGTAGGTTATGCTGAGAGGGTGTGGCAGGCCCACGGTCACCCAGGTGGCTTCCAAGGCAGAGCAGGAATTCGAACATGGGTCTCCCGGATCCTAGTCCAGCACTCTAACCACTACACCACAGAGGTTCTCATATTTAAATATTTAAATCCATTAGTAAGTCGGCTCATTTGGCCATGGATTTAGAAAAATGACCAGTTAAAGTGATACTGGAGATGCTTCCAGGCATAATGAGGATAACAGCTGAATTTGTGTTATAGATATAATCAGGGCTTTTTTTGTAGAAAAAGCCAAGCAGGGACTCATTAGCATAACTGGCCACACCCAGCAGCAGAAACGTATTATCTTATTAGGCCACACCCCTGACAGCACAGGTCATTAGCATATGAGGCCACACCCCCGTGTCACCAGAAGTGTGCTCACCCAGCCACACCCACCTTTTGCTTCTTATTCTGTTTACCTTGTTTGTTGTCAAAACCCAGGGCCTTTTTTTGTGGCAGGGACTCCTTTGCATGTTAGGCCACACACCCCTAATGTAGCCAATCCTAATGAGTTTCTGCTGTTGAGTGTGACCTATTATGCCAATGAGTTCCTGCTGGGCGTGGCCAACTCGGGAGCCAGCCGGAACTCCGTTCCTGTGCGTTCCTGCCCAAAAATAGCCCTGGCTTTAATGAAAACCAAACAAAACCAACCTGACCTGGATAGCCCAAGGCAAGCCCGATCTCATCAGATCTCGGAAGCTAAGCAGGGCCGACCCTTGCAAGTGCTTGGAAGGGAGACCTCCAAGGAATACCAGGGCTGGGATGCAGAGGCAGGCAATAGCAAGCGACCTCTCTGAAACATCCAAGCCCCACTAGGCGTCACCAGAATTCAACCATGACTTCCACACACACGCACACACACAAAAAAAACCCCTGATATGGCTCAGACAGCTGCTGGAACTTAGTCCGATTTACCAAGGGGCTGACGCTCTCTCACCAGAATTCAACCATGACTTCCACACACACGCACACACACACAAAAAAACCCCGATATGAGAGGGCTCAGACAGCTGCTGGACCTTAGTCTGATTTACCAAGGGGCTGACGCTTTCTCGGAAAAACTGCGATTTTATTTATGTCTCACAACCAGAGGAAGGAAGTGGGGGTGGGGGAGAAAAGTCCCAGTATGCTGGCAGCGTGGTGTATACTTTGTACGGGCGACTGCTCTGCAAAGGAATGCATCTCCTTGCAGTCTCTCAGAGTCCCGTGACTGTCCTTTTATGATAAAGTCTTGTTTTTAGCGGAGCTCGAGAACAAGAGCAGGCCGGATAATGTAGGGTGATTACTCTGGAAGCCTGTCAGATAGGCTTGCCAATCTGCAGCTGGTGGCTGGAGGTCTCCTGGAATTACAAGTGATCTCCCGGTATAGAGATCAGTTCCCCTGGAGGTCCCTCCCCTCCCCAAACTCTGCCTTCCCCAGGCTCCACCCCAGAAATCTCCAGGGATTTCACAGCCACCCCACTGTCAGAGGAGCTCACGGTGGAAGGAAAAAAAGTTCAGAGTCTGGCCCATGTGGATTTAGACTAAGATCCTTTTTTAAGATTAGGGTGGTTTTTGTGTGTGTCTGGTAGGCATTCTCGGGTTAATTTCTTTCCAGCCTCTTTCCCCGAGCAGGTTGACCTAGGCTCAAGCATTAGTTGTAAGTTCTGTTGAAATATTTCCCACTGGGGAATGAGCTTGTATTCCGGAGCTGGAGAGGAATTTCCCGTTTCCTAGGCGCCGGAGTCCAAAGCGCTTAGAAGCCAGTCCCAGAGACGTTGCCCTTGGGCAGAGCTGAAGAAGTATTTCAGGCTGTTGTGACAAAGCTGGGAAAGGTTCAGGAAATTGACTGGGCGAGACCGGTGGCCCACTTGAAAGGGAATGAACGTTTCCTCCTCCTCCCCCCCCCCCACACACTTTGCAGGGAAAAGGCAGAGTTTTGGGTTTTTTCCTCCCCTTCCAGGATTGGATATCTGGATCGTCCAGATGGTGGACCGAGGTGCATTTGTTGCTTGAGTGGAGCCGAATGTCTTCCTATTTCCAGTGACTGTTTGTCAACAAGGGAACATTTGTTCTATATTTAGATGACCCTTGCTGAAGGTCGGTGTAGACAGAAAAGGATCCAAGTGCTTGCTGGAGAGCATTTTCAGGCTGGGAGATCGAGCAAAAGTGCGCAGGCCAGCCACAGAATGTCTGCAAAGATGGTCTTGCATATTTCAGAAATTGAGCAATAAGCTAGTCGAATAAAGAGAAGCTCCTTTTCTTTAGCCATTGTCTCCCTCCCGGGAGCTTGGGCCACCATGTACAGGTCCACGCTCCCGTCCTCTCTTTTCTCCTCCTGACAGCCCTCTGAGGTAGGTTAGGCTGAAAGAGAACACGGAGTGTTGCTGTCACAAGGTTCTCGGGCAACACACTGAGCTTTATGGGCGACTGTCGGACTTGAACCCAGGTCCCACTGTTCCACATTCAACCGTTGCACTCTGATCAGCCTTTGTTCTAGGCGGAAGAAG